CATTTGATATAAATAACAAATAGGGATTCTGAGATGATTTTGTTGTGGCGGTGGTGGTGGTGATGATACTTTCAGTACTTGGACGCCCAGATGTCGTTGTTAATTGGATAATTTAGTTTTACCAGTATTTTAACCCTGCAGCATCCATGTTGTTTGACGGTGTTTTGTGGTTGTTTTGCCTTAATTTAAATTTGTTATTTAGCTCAGTATTCTCCAGTAACTGTATTTTTTATAAAACATATGATGTGGGGGCAGGAAAGATTGATGTTGCGGAGCAAGTTAAAACATGGTCATTGTGATAAGCCCTGATCTTACAATACTATTTATTTTGATTTGAAGGTAACATTTTTATTGAGTGGATTCTACAGTGACATCTTTCCTTTCCAGATTATTATTCATCAGTCTGCCAGATAACCCTTTATAAATCATAGCCTTACATTTTACTATTTGCTTTTGTAAAAGACAGGCTTTAGTCTGCAGTTTCTTAATACTCAAGGCTTTGTAGAAAAGTCAGATGTGGTGCTTTTTAGATAATTGTATGATTGTATTCTGCAAATGGCCTTAAGAAGTAATATATAAATAAATAAAAATTAACAAACCAACAGACTGGGAAAGTATTTATAGCAAATATATTAGGCAAACAGTGCATATTATTGTATAATTAGTACAAAGTGATGTAAAAAGAAATAGGGGTGAAAATTCATAGAGATTTTCAAAAGGAGATACAGATAGTAAAAAAAATTAGTTATTCAGCCTCATCATTTAAAAGTTCATGTTAGACCGCAAATAAGAACATACTTCTAGCAGCATATAAAATTTTCAAAACAGTGATACTATCCAGTGCTATCTATGGTGAAGTAACCCATAAATTACTGGGAAATTGTATAAACTGGTTATACCCTTTTTGAAAAGCAGTTTGATAATTTATGTCAATAAACTTACAATTGTTACTTTGATCTAATAATTTTATTGTTTCTCAAGGAAATAATTAAAGATATTTAAAATCTTTATTTTTCTTTATGATAAATAATTACTCCATATTAGGAAAATGGTTAAATACTTTTTCATTTATTTGGTGAAATGTTGGGCAACTGTCAAAAATTGGCATTTATAAGTGCTATATAATATGGGGGAATGCTTATAACATTAAGTTAATAAAGAAGACATTGTAAATAAATATAATTAAAAATATGATCAAGACCCATGGGTAAGTTAAAAAGTAGGTTAAGAATGTAAAAAAATATAGTAGATCTTTACTTTTAAGCACAACCAAGATTTTAAGTATTTTAGGAACATCTGAAGGTTGGTTGAAATTTCTCTGAAGCACTCATCTGAGTTGTGCTCTTTGCATAGTTGGTGTGTAGGAGGGGAGTCACTTTCATCAGTAAGTGACTGTAGCCAGCTGCCCAGTCCCCGTATGTCTTTCTGTTCTTTCTCACACAAACATCCAGAGGGAGGGAGTATGCTATTTTGATGCTACTTGGGAATTTGAAGATACGTAAATTGCTCAGACATATTCATGTATATTTCAGTGATTCACTTGGCAGTTGTGGCCTCTGTGTTGTGGGGTTATATAATTTCCTCCCTTCGAAATATTCTGATTTTCAAAAATTCTTTCATTAGCATGGCATTTTTAAAAGGAAGAGCCTTTATTGAGTTAACCAGTTAATAATCTTAGTGTTAAACTCTTCTTCACGAGACAATGTATTCTGTTTTTCCCAGTGTCTCATTTGTCACTAATCCTATCCAGATCTTACACTTTTTATCTCTAGAAGTTCAATTTGTGCTTCACTTTAATATACGTGTCTTTACTAACATGTTTAGTCTTTTTTTTGTTTTTGAACGCGAGGTACGGTTATAACTGTTGTAATCTCCTTGTTTATAATGCTATAAACTCTGCCATTGGTTCATACTTGTTTAATATTTAATGGGAAAATGTGAAATGCAAAACTGTTTTTAACATGTGTAAGCTACAAATACTGCCTACCAAGTTTAAGTATTAGAATATTTTAAGCATGTTGTATTGACTGTCTCTATAACTTTTCTAAATGTTGTTAATGTTTGTATGTGTCCCTAAGTAACTTATCATTTAATCTTACGCATGTTAACTTAATATGACTTACCTCTTCTGTGTGTATTATTCTAAAACTTGTTCCTCTTCCTTAATATTATGTTATTGAGAGACATCATATTGATGTGTATACCTGTTTTTACTTTTCTGTAGTAGTGCTTAGAATGAATATATTTTTATTTATCTTTTGTCCAGTTGATGGTCATTTCAGCGATACTTGTTTTGTTTTTAACAATGCTGTTATGAAATTTCCCTAGATGTGCTTCATAAGGAACAGATGCAAAAAGGCTTGCAATGGTGATAGTAATTGTATGCAACAGACAAACAGGAGGAGGGATTTAGTATGATCCCTCCATTCTCCTGGGTGTGTGGATAGTTTTGCTACTTTTTTTTTTTGTCTGTCTCCTCCCAACCCTCTGTTTCTACCTTTGTCTCTTTTATTGAAAAGCAGTTTTGTGAAATAATCAGGAAGAAAAATAATACGGCACTTTCTCTCTCCCAGCTGGTAGAACCCTTTGACTCCAAATTTAGCATATCTTTTGGTTATTTCTTAAAATGAGTGATTGTAAATATAGAAAGGTTAAACAGATTGGGGAGTTGGGAAAGGGAGGTGGTTAGATAATGTGATGAGGGCCACTGTTTACCTTAAAAATGTATTGGGGTTAATCATTTATGTCTCTTCTCTACTGGATTGTAAACTCTGTGAGGCCATACACTATATTTAGTTTTTTCTGTTTGTCCCAGAACCTGATATAATACATCTTATTTGTATCTGTCAGTGGTTGTAACTTTGTGCTTTTTCTTCCTGTCTTAGACTTTTCTACTTGGACTCAGGATTTATGTCTGATTCTTTCCTGTATGTTTGTGGCTTATAAATGACTGATACTCAATAAATGGATTGAGTGAATGATTTGAATCGTCTCCAGAGTTATAGATCGATGTTCACAAGAGTAAAGGAACTGTTGGCTTTGCCTATCCCTAGAAAGTTATAACTGGAGGGAACATTAGGGTTTATGTAGTCTAGTTCTTCATTTTTCAGATAAAGTAAGTGGTATCAAAGATTGCAAGACTTACATCCAGAAACATATATGGCAGAAGTAGTTAGAAACCAGCCAGATCTCTTACTCATAGTGCATTTTCCTTTTTTTAATTTAATTGTGATATTTTTTCTCAGATAACAGAAAAAAAGAAAAGTTGTTAACAAGCGTGAAAAGAAGATTATTTTCTATTATCTGTATGTTTGTAGTTTGATTCTATATGGTCTAGTCAGTGTTTCAGGGTGAACATAGCATTTCCTCATTGATCATGTACCACAACTTAGCTAGATATAATTTTCTCAAACTTTTATGAAAAATAAAATTTAAAAATCAGATTAAAAATATTTCCTGTAGATTATAATTCATCCTACATTTACATAATAGACTGGTGTATAAAATGCTTTGTTATTCATGAACTTATATCGATTCTTCTGATAGTCTATAAAGAGTTATGTAGGATGTAAATGATAAATTATTGACATTTTACTGATGAAAAAACTGAGGTTCAGTGAGGCTGTATTGCTTAATTATGATAACCTAGTGAGTAAATTATGAGGCAGAATCTAAGCTCAAATGATTTAAAGGCATTTTCAATACTCTTCCCACTGTAGAAAGCCAAAAGTCCCTTTAAGATAGACACATTTTTAAAAATGCTTGTGGTTGAAGGACAATTCGTAGTAACTACCATTAGCTACCCTTTGCATTGTTTCCTTTCATCCTCTTAGGTAGAACTACTATATAGTGTTCAGTCAGCAGATACTTGGGTACTGCTAAGTGGTCAGTTAGCATTGTACTGGATGGTTTAATGTAGTTTCATCTAGGTAGTACATTATGACCCACCTTAAGTAAAATACGACAGTATATAAGTGCTAGGGATATATTTTAATAAGATTTAAAGTTTAGAAATTAGTTCTAATTAAGAGAATATAGTGAGAGACACATTTGATATTCTGTTGAGGAACTAGAAAACAATCATCATCTGTATAGATCAGTTTTGTTTTTTAGAAATAATTTATCTTGTTAAAATAGAAAATATGAATTTTAGAACTATGTCTGAGATGCTTAATAAAACCTTGATCTTTATTTGTAGCATGTTTTTCATTTTTCAAACCTTTTTATTAAAGCATAACACAGACTTTTTGTAGCATTTTAGTTACCTTAGGTATGTCTAGGATTAAGCCAAAAAATAAAAAAAAAGTTTCTATAAATAGAAATGTGCAGAGACAACTGTTGTAACATATTGTTAGATTTCTTTTCATACTTCCTGTTCTGCAGGTATAATTCTATAAATAGAGTATATATAATTCTATGGAGTTTATATTTATATATTATATTTATAGTTTAATTCTATGTTCACATATTATTATATAAATACATATATGTTTACATATAATTATATAGATAGGTTAATGTCTCTGTAATTTTTTTATTCAATAATACCATGAAAATCCTTCAATGTAAATTAGGTCTGTATGATCATGTAATCATTCTGTAAATGTTGGACATTTGTTTCAAATGTTTTGTTATTACAGAATAACTTTTAAAACTGTCTTGCAACTTGAGAAATTTCTAAGATTATCAGGATATTTATTTACACTAAATAAATTGGGCACACTTTTTTGGTAATCTGTTGATAGTACTTTGAATTTAGGATAATCATAATTTTTACTCTTGCTCTACCAATTCTGTCACATTTGGAATATTTTGCTCCAGAGTAAAGTTGTTTATTAAGTAGAAAATGTTTGGATGACTATCTTTTAAATACAGATTTTGAAAGGGAATAGTGTTCAACAACAAATCTACAATATTTTGAAGAAGTCAGATGTGATGCTTTGATACCTTGATAGGTATTCAGTATTGAAATATTTAAATGTATGTTCTTTTTTTAATAGATTATCTTTCTCAAGGAATAGATCTTTCTGGAATTGAAGTAATAGAAAATGATCTACTTTTTATTGCAAGAGCTCGACTCGAAGTGGAAAATCAAGCTAAGCGTCTACTAGAGCAGGGTGTGGAGACTCAGGTAATAAAAAAAATACTGCTTTTTTAATATGAAAAATATGTCATAATATAGATGAACATTTGATTTTGGTTTTATAAAAGGGATACATGTCCTTGTTTTATCACTGGGGAATTATGGATTATGGTCTACGGTTTGAATTGGAGTTTAGGACATAAACTAAGTACAGGGAGGTTTTTTAAATATATGTTTATTTACTTCTACTAAAAACAGATTCTAAAATTTCTAGTATATATAATATGCAGTATATTTAATATCGTATGTATATGTAGATAGATAGTTAACAGATGTTGAATATGCTTAGTTTGTCCGAGGCATGGTACTCACGTAAGCCTTTCAGTACCCCAGTAAGCATGGTATCATTGCTGCTTCCATTTCATAAATGCGGAAACTAAGAGCTTACATAATTTGTCGAAGATCACGCATCTAGGAAATGATATAGTTTGGCAAACATGAAGAACTCTGACCCCAGAAACTTGCACCCTTAATAATCTCTCTGTTAGGAAAAAAAAAAAAAAAGACTCGAGATTTCTCCAAATGTATCATTTTCCTGATGCTTAATTTTCTGAGTTAGAGGAAACCTAAAGGTATTGATGTAGTAGAATCAATGATTTAGATGTAAGTCTCGGTTCTTCTCTATCTATATTGCACCAGATATTTTCTCCACTTGTATTGGACCTAAATACAGTTATTAATACGCATTTTTATTCATATTCTTTAGCCCAGGAATTGCATTTTGTGCATTTGTATTGGACAAAAACAGTTTTATAAATACTCTGTTCTTTAGTCTCTAAATCAGGAAGGTATTTATTTGACTTCTGATTCTTAATTGTAACTGATGTCAGTTACTGTTTTAAGTGAACTTTGAAAGTTGATTATCGTATACATGTTGAAAAGTGAACAAATTAGAGACATACAAATAGAATAAAATACCACACCTGTGAAATCAAAACTCAGGTCAAGAAATAGGACTGGAGTCTCTTCACTGTCTCTCACAATCACCACTCTCTCCTTTTTTTCAAAGGTAACTTTTATTCTAACACTGGAGTTTAGTTTTCTTTGCTGCCAATTATGTTTCAACTCTAGATCTCACTATAAAGATAAAATGCTTATACTGTTAAAAAAAATAAGATACTTGTCTACATCAAATAAGAGATGATACCTTTTTCTCAAAGAAATGCTCAAGGAATTGCAAGTCAACTTTGAATTAAGATGAATATTTGTATAGAAAATTGGTAGCAGCCCAGTTCATTAAAAATAATCTCTGACTTAAATCTCTGTTTACTGTTTAAAAATTTTTACCTGTGAAGTTTTTATTGCTATATATGTACATATTGCATATATCTTTAACTTACGTAATTCTTAATATTTTACTATATTTTAGAATCATGAGGAAAATGGTAGAAGGGAAACAATATTGAAGTTTGTAGAATTAAAATATAATTTTTAACAGAGACGAGGGATTTTAACACACAAAGGAATGGTTACTTAAAAGCCTTTTTAAAATTATATTCTCATATTTTAAATATTTTCTAGAGATTCCTAAGTAAACTATTTTAGGTATGTTATTATTTTGTGTACATTTTAACATTTGTCAAGTATAACTTTGCTTCAGTTCTTAAATCATACTGAAATTAAAGTAGAACTGATAACCTTTAAAGAAATTATTCCTTAAATAGTGATAGTATTATTATATATTCAGAATGTATAAAGTTAATCAAAAGATTATTCAGTTTTTCAGTGGGTGACTGTTGTTTCGCTAGTGGCTTGTATCTTATCAATGAGATTAAATAAGATAAAGAAGAAGATTAAAAATACTGTGTGTTTACTGGGTAGATGTGCAGTGATCTGCGTGGAACCAGAAAGCTTTAATTTTGGTGTATGTTTCTGTGTGGCTTGGAGGAGGGTAGATTTTTCTAGGTGGATGGGAATATTATCTCTTTGTGAGACTGCATGTATTATATTATCATAGTTTCTTAACATTAATCATTAATATTTTCTAATTCATTTGTCTTGTTAAATTCCGTATGTATAAACCTTCTGAGTATAATTTGGCTTCCTACGTAATTTTCTGAAAGGGAGAAAATGTACTGATTTGCCAATGTTAGTATGCTGGTTCATTTCACAGTTTTTACAGTGTTTCTTAGGTATAAACTGATATTCATTCTTATAACATCATTTATTTCTGAATTTAGTCTTGTGTGTGTGTTTCCCTCAGACCTGGGTCCTGTGGGTTATTCTCATAAAGTCAGGTTTCTGGCTTTGGAGAGATGAGAAGATGAAACCCTCATCAATGATGATGTCACTGAGATAGTATTTTTGGGAAGCAGGATGTTTTAGTGGAAATAGTCTGTGTTTTGGAGCCTCTTTCCTATTCCTCTTAGAAAGCAACAAGACAGAGGTAACATCTAGCTGTGTCAGCAAGCAGTTTAGGAATTAAGGATGAAACTAACCTTTATTGAATGCCTGTTCTCTGCCAGGATTTGTGTTAGTCACTTTATATTTTTTACCTCAGTCACAGTAACAGATCTGGGAGGAAGATATAATTATCCACTTTTTATAGTTAAGAAAACAAAGGCCTGGAAAGGTTAAGAAATAAGCTGCAGATTACTCAGCTAGCAAGTGGTAGGGTCATGGTCTGGAGTGCCTGCTTTCCCTTTTTTGTTTTTTTTTAATAGGACCAAGCAGTTTATTCTAATTTTGTTAAATAATTACATTTTATATCATTTAACAATTTGTGAAGCAATTTATATTGAAAAAGGAATTTTTATAGTATAAAAATTTCTTTGGGAAGTCTCCATGTGATGACTAATCTAAACCAGTTTTTCAGTAGTCCTCGCAATTGTTATTTCTTACTGTCCAACTTTTTCTTTTTTTCCATTCTCTGAAATGACTGTTTTAGACTGTCCACTGTCCATCAGCCTTCCCCTCACACCCCACACACCTAGTAAGGCAGATACCCTTAATTTCTATTTCCCAGAGGTGCCTCTTGCAGCACCTGTACCCTGGGTCCCGTTTTCTTAAGAAACCTTATCGTTTGTATTTCCATCTCTCATTTATTACGTCATCCTCTCTCTTACCCTTTTCCTTCTTGTCAGCATTTAAATATACATCTTTTACGCCACTCTCCTCTGCATTCTCTGTTTCACAAGCTTTCTTTTAGTTGTTCACATGCCCATTTTCCTTCCTCCTTTAGGTCCTTCTTGTTCTTTTTATGCCTGGAATATTCTTTCCACTTCCCATTAAAACAATTGGGGCCCTTATATCTATTTGATTCTCAAAATATATTCCCATTTATAAGAAATCATTGAAATAGTTAAACATATTATTAATATTTATTACAAGTATAGACTAAAATAATTACAGCATTTTAATTTTTAATTAATATTGCATGCTTGAAATATTACACTTAGGTAGTTTATAGACTCATAACCTGAATAGAGATACTCAGTAAACAAGGAACTTTTGAGAAATTGCATGTCATCACTTGCATTTAAGAATTAACTTCTGATATTAATTCGGTTTTTCAAAAATATTAGAGATCTTCTTTTATTGAGTCTGTAGTTGGTGGCCATCATTTTCAGTATCAATTAATTGTAAAACTTAAATTTACTAAAAGAAAATTAGTGCAATTTCTTTTTGTAGCATTTTTTCCATAACCAGGAATGTTAAAATCAATGCAGATAACTTCTTTTTGAGCATTACTGTTTTTTCCCTAGTTAATTCCTTAAGTGTTCTGTATTCATTTGTAGGTTTTAATAGCTTTGTAGTACTACAAAGTCTCTAGTACTCTATTATAAAACTTAGGTCTTGGAAGACATAAACTAATAATTATTTAGATGCTAATGAAGTGTTGTTTCTAATTATATTAAAAAACTATAAATTTCTGACCTCACAAAGTCATGTTATTTCTGTATGAAACAGTTTCGTAGTGATACCACTGCCACTTTCTTTATAAAAAGTTGGGAAGCATAGCATCATCACCGTATTAGGAAAAACATTCTTCAATTTGCTTGGCAGTCTTTTTCACAAACATGGGGCTAGGTATGGTGACCATCCGCAGCTCTTCCTTGACTCCTCTTTCTTTCTTTCCCTCTTTTTTTTACTGATCCTCAGAATCTTTCATCGACACATGCTGGACAAAGAAAGAGAGAACCTTATGGTGTTTTCAAAATTGCAACAGACTCCATTACCTCAAGCTCTAACTAGCTTTCAAAAATAGGTGATAGAGATTTTGATCTGGATGAGTTCCTGCATCACCATAGATACCAGGCCCCCACAGTGAAATGGTGACATTTTAATTAGAAAGATGGCTTTAACTTGTGAATTACAAGCTTTCCCAGTAAACAAGTGCAGGACTTTCTGGAGGTTGCAGGATGGAGGAAGATGATGTTCTTCTTTGTCTTTAAAAGTCACCAGGAAGAGGGTCTGCGCGCTGAGGTCTTTTCAGCTCTGTACTGGGCTATAAGTTGCCAGTACTAGGATGTAAACATCCACCAACCCGCCTTTTCCCTGAGTCAGAAAATCTCTGTCAGGCCCAGAGTACCAGTGCTTAGCAGTTGTCAGCTAAAACTACCAGGACAGCCTAATCTAGACAGACTCTCTAAGATAACAGTGTGGAATTGAAGTTCAAAAGCTAACTGTCTCCATGGCACACAGTAGCTGATTATGATGTTAGGAACCCTTTTTACTTACGTAGTTAAAAATTCTGAACTGTTCCTAGTACAGAAAAAGTACCAATTCAGATGTGTTGTGTTGAAGATTTCTGGAAGTTAAGCATTTTCTTAAGCTTCAAAAAGAACTTTCTGGCAAAGTCGAACCCACTGATTCCTTTTGTAATTAATTACGATAGTTCAGAATGCAATAGTTCTTTTGTGATCCTTTTCTGTGGGCCCAACACCAACAGTGGACTCAATGTCAATTGATTATCAAGCTTAATATCTGCTTTAAGAAGTCTAGCTTTCCTATTGTTAGGGGCTGTTTTTCCTGGCTTGACTCATTAA